TCTCATTAAAAAACTCTCCTCTGCCATTGTTCCCCCATGGCTCCTCTTCCACAGCCGCCCCTGCTCGGCCGGCCGGGGCCAGGAGCACTCAGGCGCGGCTGCTGCTTCGGGTCTTCTTTCCCCCGAAGGGCTCCCACGGAAATGTACAGACCCGTGCCTTCTTCTCCGCTAACCTGCCTGTGTCCGCCTCGTTCCCAGCCCAGCCGGAGACTCTGGAGGGCAGAGGTAAAGCGTCTGCACCCTGCACCTTCCTTGGTCTTCTGGGCGTTCGGGCACCTTCGCCAATCCCCTCCTACCACGTCCTCGGTTCCCCCGCTGCTTCAAAGCTGTTTAAAGATCGAGCCAAATTTGAGATGGCTTTGCGTCCCTCTTATGGTCAAACACGTATTTGGCGTTTTAAAAAATCTGTTGCCTGGGTCCCAGGCCCTTGGAAAAAGAACTCCAAAGTGCTAATAACCCCTGTGTTTCCTGTGTCCTAGGCTGCTGTGACGGCAAACCTGGGAAAGATCTCGGCCATAAACTTCCCTGAGACAGCTGCAAATAGGAGATGATGAGGCTTTTGGGGGGTGACAGTGGGGTTCGTGGGGTCCAGAGCCGACGACCAAGAAAGAATTCTTGAAGGTGTCTTTGGTGCATAAAGGTGATTTTATTAAAGCTCAGGGGTGGGACCCGTGGGCAGGAAGAGCTGCCGGGGACCATGAGGAGACACTGGTTATATACCACGGAGTTGCAGGAGGTCAAGTCCAGCGGAAGTTTCCAGTGAGATTTTCATATGCTGAAGACTCCCGGGATACCGGAGGCCTGGCTATTGTCAAGCTAGGGTTGTTTTCCTCCAACAAAGCATTAGCCTTAAGACAGTAAGGAGTCCCGAGAAATGTTTCACTCTGCCGGCCTCAGTAGTTGTCCGTGGGCTGCAGGGTATAAGGAAATTGACTAGGAAACTGACTTCTACCTGCCTTTGTTCCCCACATCAGGAGAGCCCTCGTGGCCCCCCGCCCCCCGCCCCCCAACCTCTGCTGGTGGGGAGGCGATGGCTCTCCGGGCTGATGGTAGGTGATGGGCCCGGATTCTGAGCAGGACCGGTCTCGCTTCTGAAACTTCATATTCCTTCTCTCCCTTCACTCAGTCCTGCAAGCACCCCCGCATGGATGTATTATTCTTCATCGCCCGGACAAGGGACCTTATTAAGCCCAATACGAGTCACCTTTAGCACAGACCAGAGACCACCGGCTGTATATCTTCATTTTCAAACTGTAGCCACAGATGCCATCTGTACTGAGAATGTGATTTTCTCCCTGGGACCCACAGGGAGAAAATGCTAATGATGTTCCAAATGTTGATGGTTCTCTGGCCCCTGGAGACAGCCTGCAAGGAAGGACCATTTGCTTTAGTTCAGGGGGCCAGGGGTGGGGGCGGGAACAGCTGTGCCTTCCCCCAGATGTGTAATTGCCATATTGTTTCTTGTTCCCCACCCCCTGCCTTTCAGGGACCTCGGGCTATAATTAATTCTTGAATATGGCAATAAATCAAAGCTTCGACAATTACAGGAAACTTTTCTCCCCCTTCCAAATGGCTCTGCTGGTTGCTTTAATGTTCTCTCTCCTACTGTGTCTCCAACCACCTGAAACCTGAGCAGACATTCCAGGAATTGATTCTGAGAACAAATCCGTGTTTCAGTCTATGGAATCTGGAGTTGAAAAATAAAAATAAAACCAGAAATAGCATCCATTACCCAATCTGGGTCATCTCGTTTTTTATTGGACACAGACGTGCCCAGATACCGCGATTCCGAGTCGGGAATGAGTCTCCACTGCTAAAGTCAAATGCTCCGTGCCCAGCAACCCTGTCATTTCCATTTTTAAGATGCACACTTTGCATATAAAAGCATTCACAACCCCATCTCTACTCACTGTCTATCCTGCAAATGGGTCTCTGTAATTGATGAGAAATAATCATAATAAAAGAAGTAGGCGATGCAGTCCATGAAACCCTCAGTGTGCAGGAAGGATGAAAACAGAACAGCCTCTGGGCTAATCCGCCCGCTTTCAAAATTGCTGTTTCTTTTGTTCCCTCAACCCTCCCAGATCTAAATCTCTAGCTTCTGCAGCAGCAAGCCGAGGGACAAATAGGCTTGGTTCTCTTAACGAGCGGCTTCCTCTGCATTCATTCTGGGGGAAGAGCTCCAGCTGAGAAGCGCAGCAAAAGGGGACAGAAACTTCCAGATTAAATCTGATGAAGCCTCAGACTGTAAGGACACAAGTCTAAACGTCTAAACCGAACTGGCTCCATGACAGGCTTTAAGTTTCCCCTCTAAACTAGAAGGCCTGAGTTCCAGCTTCCCTGAAACCATCAGGCAGCTACACATTGCCCAAGGCAGGAGAAACCACCCCCCTCGCAGCACCCACTCAGGAAAGGCCAGCCACCACCCTCCCCATTACTAAGGGAGAGGCCTGGAGATAGAAACTAGAGATAGGACCCTGTTACCTAATGTTAAAGTTAACCCGTTAGTCGCCGACTAAGACCCTAGGCTCGCTCTGTGATTGGTTGAATTTAAAGGTACTCTAAATGTTGTAATTGGATCCCGCCAAAAGTAACGAATACTCTAGACAATGTGTATGGTCAAACCCGCTGTCAATGATGTTGAATTATTATGATTGGATCACTGTTCCCATGTCACAACTTCTGTAACTCCCCCGTCTCAAACCCCATAAAAACCCTACTCTGCCCTTGTTCGGGGCTCTCAGCAGGATCCACGGCGCTGGTGAGGTCTGGGAGCCCGAGCTTGAGCCCGTAATAAAGCCCTTTGCCTTTGCATGCGTGACTCGGTCTCCCCGGTGGTCTCTGGTCGGTGAGGATACTGCGATCTGGGTATAACAAGACCACTCTTTCGCAAGAAGCTGGGACAGACTCTTGGCTTGTCTCTTCTACTGCACTTCACAACTTCCCCTCCTCTGAAAGGCGTGGGAACTGCAGAGGGCAACAGGTAGCAAGTCAGGTGGGGAGGGCACGGGAGGGAAGTTTGCCAACGTTATTTCAGATGCCAACGTTTGAATCTGGCCCCCCGCTCTAAAGCCTGTGTGACCTGGGCATGTCACTGAAGCTCTATGGGCCTCAGTTTCTGCATCTGTAAAATGAGTTTGCTAATAGCATCTTTCTCTCTCAAAAAAACCCCACACATTTTATTTATTTATTTATTTTTGTAGAATTAAAAGAAATAAGTCGTGTAAAGGATCCAGAGTCCCCGCTTTTATTATTTTAGAAATACTAGAGGCCCAGCTGCGGGCCAGATTCGGTCCCTCCTGGACATCAAGGGAACCAAGTCTTTGGCTGAGTTGACAAGGTCGCCTGAAACAGCAGCCGACCATGGTGAGCAACACGTGATGCTTATGCACTGTGGATGCGGAAACTGAGATGGCTATCAAGGAAGGCTTCCTGGAAGAGGCGGGGACCTGGCTTGGTCAAACTGAAGGAAGTATTAGATCTATGCCACCCTGCCTTCCCCATTGCTGTTCCAAGCAGTACCCTGGAGGCGGGGCCAGTGACAGTGCCCATCCTGGGTGGTCCCATGGCTCACCGTGGATGCTCTGAACCAGCTCTGGAAGTTAGTGGAGAGAAGCACATCTTCTGGGTGCGCGCAGTCATGGGTACCACTTGGAAAGCGTGAACTTATACGTCAGAATACAGCTGGTTCTGGAAGGTGTTGGCTCTCAGTGGAAGGGCTGTGAGCTCAGGCGAATGTGGGGCCCTCAGCACCAGGCTGTCTGCCTGCTGTCGGGGTGCACCTGTTTGCCTCACAGGGAGGACCCGGGGACTGAGACACCACGATCGGGAAGCTCCGGTGTGGCCCTCGGTGGCTGCCACTTCTCTTCCGTCCCCGCCATCCGTTTCGAATCTGCCAGGTGTCCGACCCCGTGGGCGAGAGCGAGCCTCGGTGTTAACTCTCAATTACCGACATGCTATAATGCAGTTAGTTTTCAGCTTGCTCTGAATTCATTTCATGATTACAGGGCTGCTTAAAACAATGTACATATAATGAATGAATTTTCCATAAACACGCATCTCTGCCTAGGTGTAAATATTTAACAGGCAGCTGCAGAAAATAGAAATAAACCAACATCAGTTATTTGGGAAAATTTGGTGCTGAAAACCCTCGGAGGCTCTCACCCCACCCCCAACAGGTTTTGCCGAGGACCTGCTTCGCGCCGGGACCGCTCCCCCCGGTGCCGCAGACACAGGGGCGGACGAAACCGCATCTCGACAACCTGGTGTCGGTGAGACGCACGCGAAGCCTCGTTCTTGGACCCGCTTTGTGAGGAGACGCGTGGAACCGCACCGGGTCCCCCCGCCTCTCAGCTGCTGCTCAGTGTGCCTTCCCGCCCATCACACCAGCCGGGAGGCTCTGGTTGAAGCCACCGATGGTCTTCCTGTTCTAAATCTGAAGCACTTGTCTCAGACTTCATGTCCCGTCTTTCTGCATTTGTCACATTAAACCATCACCTTCTCAAGCCCGCACGCTCTCTGGACTCCGGGCTCTGGGCCGACATGCCCCCAAGTTTTCCCCCAGCTGCTCTGGACTCTTCCACGCAGTTTCAGGGTTGTAGTCCCAGGCTTGTCTTTGCAGTCTCCACCCCTCCGCCCAAAGACACCCATCCACACCAGCGGTGGCTTCGATCAGCCTGACACGGAACCACCCCTGCCCCGGGCACCTCCAGCTCCCCATGTGGTCTCTGAGCACCAGAGCCATGTGACCGATTGATCGCTTATGTGTCCGAATGCCTCAAATGCACCACCAAGTCACAAAGGTAAGAACCCTGGTTTTCCACGACAGAGCCAGCCTTACGCATGTGGGAGGGTGGCCCCCGCGAGCCCAGCACACAAGCCAGGAGCCTAGAGTCACTTCTGCCATTTCTGTCCATCCCTCGACACTCCTGGTGCACCCCTGACTCTTCCCCATTGTATCTCTAGATACGTGTCCTGTTCAGAGGGCTCGGTGTCAGCACCTGCACCCAAGGCTGAGACGGAAACCAGAGGGATCTCGTGGGAGAAAAAGCTGTTTTCCTGCTCCGATTCTTGCTGGGAACTGCACCCCCATCCCACTGGACACGTACCTTGTGATGCAAATAGCATATGTCCTCCTGGTAAGGGACGAGGAGTTCATGATTGCTCTAGAAAAGATCACATCTAAGGACGGACCAGGCGAGAATGACCGGGCAAAGCTCTCTTACTCATAGTCCAGACCACCAGAGGTAGACCTCTCCATGCCAAGACCCCTCGCTCCAAGGAATAACACCCGGGCCCTCAGTTTTGTTCCTTTTTATTGCTGCATGTCCGAGAGGACACTTACACCAGACCACCATCCTCAGTAAACACCATCCTCAGTAAACCTTGAACAAAGACAAGACTTCTCTCCTTTCCTTTCTGTGTCCCTCTGACACTCAGTCCATCTGTATCTTCTCTCTCTCTCCATCTTACATAAGCTCTGCTTTCATCTCCTGCTGGCTCACGTTTGATTTCCGTCCTGCGTGAAGCCACGGACCCCCTTGGCTGGTCCTGTGAGACCCTCCGTTTCCTCAGGACCTGGCCGGCCAGCATCAAAGCCACTGGCCTCTTTGCAAGTGCCCATTCCTTAATCTTCCTCACCCTTGTCCCTGCCCAGCCTCCCTTTTAGTCTTTTGAAGAATAATTATAAAGGGAGGAACTAGATAATCACCACCCAGGCCAAGAGACAGGCCTCGGCCAGGGTCTTAGAGGGTCCAGGTCTCCTCCATGCCTCTCGCCAACCATACCCCCTCCCTCTCCTTTTGGATGGTGATTTTCTTGCTGTTATTTATTGCTTTGCCCCTACAAGTGTATCTGTAAATGACAGAGCTTGGCTTCTGCCTGCTATTGACCTTTATATGCAAGAAATTCGACCGCACGTGTTCTTTGCGACTTCCTTCTTCAGCTTAATACTTCCGGGTGAGATTGGCCGACATGGTGCGTGCAGCCATGACTTCATCATTCCTGTTCCGAGGACGCCAGTGTACTCATGTATTCTACAGCTAGTAGACATCCGGATGTTGTCAGTTTGCTGCTCAGAAAGTTCCCCGTGCAAGTCCCCTCTATAAAAACACACAGCCTCCCAACAGGACCTCCTGACACTGCATCTCAGGTGGCCAGGTACGTGGGCTTTCACCCATGTGTACGGGCACCGCAGGGAGCCGTTAATTTGCATTTTCCAAGTTAGCAATGGTGGAGTATCTATGTATGTTTACTGATCGATTGCATTTCATCTTTTCTGGCATGCCTATGTAATGCCGGAGAGGCTGTTCTGTAAGTATTTTAAATTTTCTCTACATTATGATGTTCTGCCATCTTCAAAAACAAAACAAAGACAAAAACAGAAAGCTATCTAGCTGGGTAGAGACTGCCCCTCTGTGGGTTCACCAGTTCTTAGAGGCAGCAAAGGACCCTGCAGGGAGCATGTCTTTGATATGCAAAATGACCTTCCCAGAGCCCTACCTCCTCTCTCTGGCTCTTACATCCCAGGAACCAATATTCCTCTGCTTTCTAACCATCCCAGGGCCAGGTGCCAGGCAGCTAAAGACATCGTTATAGCCTAGAGCCCACTGAAAGCTTCACACTGGCCAATCCTATGCAGCTCACCCTGACTTGCCTTGCCTTTCCCGCAGAAATGCCAGTAAAGGGGAAACTCCAGTAAAGGCTTTGGTGCAAGCCCTCCCCACCCGCACCCCGGCTCCAGCCTTCTGCCCCCTGATCGCCCTGCTGCTTCCCCAGATGGAGGCACAGCACACCTTCTGTCTCTAGGACCCTTGTAACAGACTTTGCTTTTTCTGAGCCTTTGTCTCCTCTGAGGTCACACCTGACCAACCATCTCCTAACAGAATACAAAGCCAAGGCCATTGCTGGAGCCCTACTGGGCTCTTCATCTTGTCTCCAGGTCGATAATACAGGTGCACACCACCACCTCACGCCGGTCCTCCACTCATTCTATCTGTTGAGATCTCTTCTCTCACTGCAGGCCATATTTTTTCTGCTTTAGGGAAAATCCTTAATTTTTAATGGAATCAAATGCATTGATCCTTTATTCTGTATTAGTGATGCTGGCACCTTGCTCAAAGAATCTTCTCTGACCTCTTATGTTAATTCTTTTTTTAAAAAAGTTTTTTAATGTTTTTTATTTATTTCTGAGAGAGAGAGAGAGACAGCGTGAGCAGGGGAGGGTCAGAGAGAGAGGGAGGCACAGACTGAAACAGGCTCCAGGCTCTGAGCTGGCAGTCAGCACAGAGCCCGACGCGGGGCTCGAACCCACGAACCGTGAGATCATGACCTGAGCTGAAGTCGGATGCTTAACCGACTGAGCCCCCCAGGCGCCCCTGTTGATTCTTGATTTAGAGTAGAACTGATCATCCTGCCTTGTTCAATAGCTTTATCTGTTTTATCCTCCCCTTCCACTTTGGGTTGGCTCTCATGCTGCATTTTGTTTATTTCCAAGTTAATACAAGGTTGTCCTCCCCATTTTAGGATCGTCATGGCAAACCACTGGAGTGACCTTGTCCCCAGCAGCTCATGCCACCGTATGGCTTACTCCGAGCAATGGGACTTCAGCAAATGGAATAGTGAAACTTAGTGAGTGCTCCCTTACTGGAACGTGTCCTCTTGAAAGCTGCTCAGGGACAAGGATGGTGTGAAAGTGGACGAGCTTCTGCAGTCACTACGAGTAGACCCAGGCAAGCAGCCTTGTCCTGCAGCCAGTGAACCTGGCAGAACTGCGGTGTTTTCTTCTGTTATGCAGCAGTACATAAGGGAAACAGCGGCCTTGGCTGTTGGTGGGTCTCTGTGCTTCCTGCTGGTTCACAGCCTGCCTCCCCAACGCCCCGCTCCAACCCACCTGTCCTGATGAGACCACGGGCATCTCTGCCAGAGGCTCCCACCGGTGTCTGTATGTCCACTTCCAATCCACTCTCTGTTTAAATTCAAAGCGCAGAAAAGTACACAGAAAAATGTAACAAGCTCCTCGGTGCTCAACAGATTTTAAAAATGTCATTTGTTATTTCATTTCAGGTTGTTTTGAGTATGAAAGAAATAACATGTGTATGTTTTAAAGTTCCCTTTGAGCCTTTCTCCAGGTTCCTCTCCCCGGGAGGCACCCCACTGGAAACCAGCCTCAAAACCCTGGTGTTGACAAAGATTCTCCTTGACCGAACTTAGGACAGGCTCCTCTGAGCCCACTTTCTGGCCAGTCCCACACTTGTCCCGTCATGACCCTGCTTAATCCAGCTGTAGCAAGGATCCTGGATACGTCAGTTAGGAGGGAATCCTTCCACCCCTGACAGCTGATCACTCTGGGCTGTCTTCAGCAAGGAGCCTATTAACTCAGGTCATCAAAAATCCCCCACCCTTGACGGCCCCTGCCATGTTCAGAGCCGAGTTCAGTCTTTCTCCCTTGTTGCAAAAGTCTTCAATAAAGACTTCCTTTCCTTTTTGACAAGAGTCAGAAGAATTTTTCTTTAACAGTAAGTATCCCTTTGTCAAAGTTTTTACATAGCTGCCATGCATATATGCGCACACACACACAGTGTTCATTTTTGAGACATTTTTAGCATTGTTAAGTGTGACTTGTCTCTGACATAAGTGTGACAGTTCTGTACATCTATAATTCTATTATGCTTTTGAAAATTCTGCTTCATCTCTTGAGCACTAGCCAGGCTCATTCAAACACCAAATCATTTTTCCAAATGGCTAAACACTATTTTATCCTATGATGATGCCACAATTTCTTTACACATTTCCTAGTTTGTGAACGCTAGATTTTTTCACTGACCATGGCGGCAGGAAACATCTGTGTGCACAGCACCTGGTGTACACATACGAGAGTTTCTGGTGCAGATGATAGAGAAAAGCAGAGTCTTTGGGGGGGGGGGGGTTTGCATGTACCAGCTTTTCTAGTCAAATGCTCTCTAAAAGGGAAAGTGTCACATCGCAGAGCCATCGGTGTGTATGAGAGTTCTTGTCTCCGCACACCTTTGCCAACACTTTGTATTTACATACATTTATATCTTTTATTTTATAAAAATAATCTCCTTTTGAGGTTATTTCAGAAAAGGTCTCTGAATGTAAGATCTCTTGGTGTTTTTATGTCCAAAATACATGAATGAACGTTCTTCTTGAGTCCTTAGGCTGGAACCATGGATCATTCTTCCCTCCCTGAAATAGCTTTCCAATGTCTTAAGGCATTTGTGTATTCTCACTGTGATTCTCCTTCCTTTATTTTTTTTTTTTTTAACTTTTTGGAAACATTAACAAATTCTGTGTATTTTTCTTTCAACCCTCTGCAGTTTCATTACTCTGTTTCTAGACTTGAATTTTTTTATATATGTGTATTCTGCTTCTTCGATAGTTGAACTTTTTTTAGAGTTTGATCTTCTGTGCAACACTGTAGCTGATGTCCTCATTTTTTTTCACTTAATTGATTTTTCCTTCAGCTCTATCTAGTTTTGTCTTCAATCCACCTATTGAATATATATATGTATATATGTATTGAATTATATATATATAGTTTTTTTCTCACAATTTGTTCTCTGAAATTTCTTCTTGGTTTCCTTTCATATTTACCTGTTCATGTTTCATGCTTTCTAAGCTTGTCCGCAGTGTGCAGATCTTATCTTCTTGTTCCCTTGCCTATTGTTTGTGTGTTACAACCTACAGTATTTTCGTATCTTTACAGCAGAACTGGGAATCTCCTACTTCAATGTGTTCCAGGGTTTCCCCTGAAAATTTCCAGCTTGCTTTGTGCCTAGTAGCAAAAGGGGTCTGTTAAATATATAGATCTGCCCAGTTGATTTTATTGGAAAATTTTACCAAACATTTTTAATGTTTGTTTATTTTTGAAAGAGAAAGAGAGAGACAGAGCATGAGTGGGAGAGGGGCAGAGAGAGAGAGAGAGGGAGACACAGAATTCAAAACAGGCTTCAGGCTCCAAGCTGTCAGCACAGAACCCAATGCAGGGCTCAAACTCATGAACTACGAGTCATGAGCTGAGCCAAAGTCGGACATTCAACCAACTGAGCTACCCAGGTGTCCCTTTACCAAACATTTTAAAAAGCAATGTCAATTACGCACAAACTCTGGAAAATATAAGAGGAGGAAGTTCTTCCCAATTCATTTTATGAGGATAAAATTACTCTGATTATAAAGCCCAGAAAAAAAAATAATAAAAAATCTAGCACCAGCACTAACAGCAACTAGAGACTAATATCCCTCATAAATAAAGATCCAAAATAAATAGCCTTAACTAAGTATTAGCAAATATAATTTAGCAGCATATAAAAGAAATTGTACCCTATGACCAGGTAGGGTCTATTCCAGGAATATGAGGCAATTCAATATTTGAAAATTAACCAATGTAATCCATCATACTCACAAATTAAAGACAAAAATTCACATGATGATATCAATTAATCAGAAAATATATTTGCCAATGTCTTGTTCTCACTCGTGATAAAAATTCTTGAAAAAAAAACAGCCATAGAGGAAAACTCCCTCAACCTGATAAAAAGCAGCCAGAAAACCAATGTACATACAACAAGACACTTAACGGTGGGGAGCTGGACACTTTCCCCCTTGAATGGGAAACAAGGTAAGATTCCTGCTCATGTAACTCTTATTCAATACAGCGCTGGAAGTGCCAGCCAGAGGAATAAGGCACACGAAGGAAATCAAAGGCATACAGATCAGAAACACATAAAATTGTCCCTATTTGCACATGATTTAATTATGTTGGAAGGAAGTCAAAGGGATCTCCAAACAGTAACTCCTGAAACCAATAAATGAAGCAGCCAGGTTGCAAGGTGCAAGGTAAACACACAGACGTCAGCTATATTTTTATATCTTAGCAATGAGCTTATGGACACTGAAATTTAAAACACGATATGATTTACAATCACTTAAAAATCAAACACTTGGGTGTCATTCTAACAAAACACGTATGGAGTTTGTATGCCTAAAACTACTAAATGCTCATGAAAGAAATCAGTGATTCAGATAAGTGGAGGGACATACCGTGTTCATGAACTGAAGACTGAATATGGTATATATATGTCCATTCTCCCTGAACTGATACACAGCACAAGCACAGCTCATGTAAAAAATCACAGTGACATTTTTATTGCCAGAGACAGGATTATTCTAAAATTCAAATGGAAATCCAAGAGGGCCAGAATAGCTACAACCATTCTGAACAACAAGAACAGAAAGAATAGAGAGAGAAGACTTGATCTATCCAACTTCTTATTATGTAGACACAGTAATCTAAAATGGGTGGTATTGTCAGAAGGGTAGGCACATAAATCAACGGAACAGAACAGAAAAGCCAGAAATAAACCAATATGAATATTCCCGGTTGGATTTTTGACAAAGATGCAAAAGTAATGCAATGGAGAGAAGGTAAGACCCTGTAACAAACGGGATTTGTTATGGGTTGAACTGCATCTGCCCCCAGAAAGGTATATGGAAGTCCTAAAACCTAGTACCTTAGAACTTGGAAACAGGGTCTTTATAGAAGTGATCAAACTAAAATGAGGTCATTAGGTGGGCCCTAGTCCTACATGACTAATATCCTTCCAATAAGGAGAACTTTGCACAGAGAGAAGGCAGGACAAACAAGCAGGGAGACATACATGTGCAGATGGAGGCAGAAGTGGCAGATGTTGTCACAAGCCCACGAGCACCGCAGATTGCCAACGAGCCCCCGGGTTCTCTCTCGCAGCCCTGAGGAGGGACCCACCATGCGACACCTGAACTTGAACTTCTGGCCTCCAGAATTGGGAAAGAATAATGTCTGCTGTTTCAGCCCCCTGGTCGGTGCTGCTTTGTTAATAGCAGCCCCAGGAAGCAAGTCAAAAATAAACCCAATGGAAGTTTCATACCCTGTACAAAACCTAACTCAAAATGAATCATGGTATTACATGTAAAGTGGAAAGCTATAACACTTTTAGAAAAAACAGCAACAACAACACAGGATCCTCAAACCTTTAAAATCAAGGACAGGTGAAGAGCTCTTAGGCTGGACCCCAGAAGCACCATCCACAAAGGAAAACATGGGTAAATTACTCGTTATTAGAACTAAAATCTTCTGCTCTGTGGAAGCTGGTAAGAAGATAAAAAACAAACTACTGACAGTCAGAAAATATTTGCAAATCACATATTTTTAATGTTAACTTATTTATTTTGAAAGAAAGAGCAAGAGAGAATGGGGGAGGGACAGAGAGAGAGGGAGACAGAGAATCCCAAGCAGGTTCCACACTGACATGAGGCTGGAGTTCATGACCATGAGATCAAGACTTTAGCCAAAACCAAGAGTTGGACACTCAATTGACTGAGCCACACAGGTGCCTGTACAAATCACATACTTGACAAAAGGCTAGTGTCTGAAACAAAGTACTCTCCAAATTTAATACTAAACGATAAATAAAAGGAAAAAATTCAATCCAATTAGAAAATGGCCAAGCAATATGAAGAGATACTTCACCAGGAAGGATATACACATGTCAAAACACATGAGAAGGTGTTAGATGTTATCAACCATCAGGAAAAATGCAAATTAAGACCACAGTGAGATACTCCCTCACACCTATCAGAACGGCTAAAGTAAAAAAATATTGACGACTCTAAATGCTGGCAAGGATGGAGAGAAATTGGATCACTCACATTGCTGGTGAGAATTTAAAATTGGACAGATGCTCTGGAAGAAACAAAATTGGGGGATTTTCTTAAAAACTAAACTTGCAATTACCATAGAAGCCAGCGTTTGCACTCCTGGGCACTTATCCCAGAGAAATCAAGACTTAGGTCCCCACAAAAACCTGTGCACAAATGTTTGCTTCAGCTTCACTCCTAATAGCCCCAAACTGGAAACAACCCAATGCCCTTCAATGGGTAGATGGTTAAATAAACTGGGATGTCCATTCCAGGTAATTCGACTCAGCACAAGAAATGCACAGATGACTGATACTACCAGCTGCCTTCAGGAAACTCCAGAGATTTATGCTGAACCAGAAAAGCCAATCCCAAAAGGCTGCATGCTTTACGGCTCCATTTATGTAACATTCTTGAAATGACAAAATTACAGAAATGGAGAACAAAGTAGTGCTGCCAGGGATGGAGGATGCGTGGGAGACAGGAGGGAAGTGCAAGTGGCCTTAATAGGGCACCAGAGAAAGCCTTGTGGGGATGGAGATGTTGTACCCTGGCTGCATCAATGCCAGAGTCCTGGTTGCCATGTTGTAGCCCAGTTCTGCAGTGTTGTTCCTGTTGGGGAAAACGCGGGATGTCCTTGTATCCACAGGTGAATTTACAATTATTTCTAGATTAAAAGTTTACATTTAAAAAGGCAGTTCTGGGATACCTGGGTGGCTCAGTTGGTGAAGCATCCCGTCTGACTTCTGCTCAGGTCATGATTTCACAGTTTGTGAGTTTGAGCCCTACT